TGAAAACCACTCAGTAGTAGAATACTGAGCTGAAAACAAGGTTCTAGTTTTGATTTTATTTCTTCAAAAGACTCTCTTTTGTCAGACAAATAGCTTGTACTTTAGAGCTTCATTTTATAGAGAAGAAATAATATTGACTGATTTATAGGAAAGTGTAATGGGAACTGAGTTCTAATAATTAGGGTACTTGGAGGTTTTTGAAAGTCAAGCATGTTGGAAGATCTGTATAAATTCTTTTTTATTTTATTTTGTAGAAATGGTGTCTCACTGTGTTTCCCAGGCTGGTCTTCAACTCCTGGGCTCAAGTGATTCTCCCGCCTCAGCGGATTACAGGTGTGAGCTACCATGCCCAGTGGGATTACAGGTGTGAGCTACCATGCCCAGCCTGAAAATTCTTGATAGTGCTTTTTAATTTAATAGTGTAAATGAGTCTGCTCGCACTGTAATAAAAGTCTTTGTCCGGTATGTATGGATATTTTGTTTATTCATGTATTTTACCTTTTTGGAGGCTCTTGGTTCTTTTGTGTAGTTCTAAATTTCTACATGGTATTTTTCTGATTGAAGGACTAATGTTTCTTGTAGTGCACATTTGCTGATAATGAATCCTTTTATTGTTTGGATATCTGAAGAAGTGTTTAATTTGTTTTTAGTTTTAGGAACTATTTTCATAGGATATCGAAATACTGTTGACATTTTCTTTATGATGCTGTTTCACGATCTTCTGGCCTGCATTGTTTCCGATGAGAAATCTGCTTTCATTGGGTTTATTTTTCTGTATGTAGTATGTGGTTGTTTCCCTCTGGCTGCTTTTATTTTTCTTTCAAAAATATATATTTTTCTTTTTTAAATTTAATTATTTTATTTCTTTTTTCTTTTTTTTTTTTTTTGAGACGGAGTTTCGCTCTTGTTACCCAGGCTGGAGTGCAATGACGCGATCTCGGCTCACCGCAACCTCCGCCTCCCGGGTTCAGGCAATTCTCCTTCCTCAGCCTCCTGAGTAGCTGGGATTACAGGCACGTGCCACCATGCCCAGCTAATTTTTTTGTATTTTTAGTAGAGACGGGGTTTCACCATGTTCACCAGGATGGTCTCGATTTCTTGACCTCGTGATCCACCCGCCTCGGCCTCCCAAAGTGCTGGGATTACAGGCTTGAGCCACCGCGCCCGGCCTAATTATTTTATTTCTAAAAAAAATTAGAGACAAGGTTTCACCATGTTGGCCAGGCTCATCTTGAACTCCTGGCCTCAAGTGATTCATTCCTCTTGGCTTCCCAAAGTGTTGGAATTACAAGCATGAGCCACCACTCCCAGCCCAAAAATGTATTTTTTATTGTAGTGAAATGCACATAAACATTTACCATTTTAACTATTTTTTGTTTGTTTTTAAGAAGGGTGTCACTCTGTCACTCAGGCTGGAGTGCAGTTGCATGAACATGGCTTACTACAGCCTTGACCTCCTAGGTTTAAACCATCCTTCCACCTCAGCCTCCTGAATAGCTGTGACCACAGGTGCCTGTCACCATTCCTGGCAAATTTTTACTTTTCTTTTTTGTAGAAGTGGGGTCTCACCATGTTCCCCAGCCTGATCTCGAACTCCTGGGCTCAAGCAGTCCTCCCACGTTGGTCTTCCAAAGTGTTGGGATTGCAGGCATGAGCCAACCTGGCCCATTTTAACCATTTTTTAGTATATGTGCTGCCGAAGCGAGCACACATTTTAACCATTTTTTAAATTAATTAATTAGAGTCACTGCAGAGTACAGTGTCGTGCGATCTTGGCTCACTGCAACCTCTGCCTCCCAGTTTCAAGTGGTTCTCCCAACTCAGCGTCTTGATTAGCTGGGATTACAGGCATGTGCTACCACATGCCTGGCTATTTTTTTTCCCCCCGTATTTCCATATTTTTAGTAGACAGGATTTCATCATATTAGCCAGGCTGGTCTCTAACTCCTGACCTGAGGTAATCCGCCCACCTTGGCCTCCGAAAGTGCTGGGATTACAGGTGTGAGTCACCATGCCTGGACGATTTTAACCATTTTTAAGTGTGGTGTTCACTGATATTAATACATTCATAATGTTGTACAACCATCACCATCATCCATCTCCAGTACTCCTTTCATCTTCCAAACTGAAACTCTGTTAAACACTAACTCTGCAGACCCTTCCCTTGGCCTGTGGAAGCCACTGTTCTGTCTGTGAATTTGACTACTCTAGGTTCCTCATATAAGTGGAATCATACAGTACTTGTCTTTTTATGACTTAATATAATGTCCTGAAGCTTCATCCATGTTGTAGTATTTTTCAGAATGTTCTTCTTTTTTAAGACTGCTTAGTATTTCATTGTATATTATATACCACATTTTACTTATCCATGCATCTGTTGATAGACATATATGACATTTGGGTTGCTTCCACTTTTTGGCTATTATGAATAATACTTCTGTGAATATGACTATACAGATATCTCTTACAGACCCTGTTTTAAATCTTTTTGCTATAAACCCAGAAATGGAATTGCTGGATCATATGGTAATTCTATTTTTAATTTTTTGAGGTACTTCCTTACTGTTTTCCACAGCGGCTGTGCCATTGTACATTCCTATCAACAGTGCACAAGTGTTCCACTTTCTCCTTGTCAGCACTTGTTTTCTTTTTTTTTCCTGATCATAACTATCCTAATGGGTGTGAGTGGTATCTCATTGTAGTTTTGATTTGCATTTCCCTAATGATTTATGTTTATTAGCCATTCATGTATCTCCATTGGAGAAATATCCTTTGCCCATTTTTATCAGGTTTTTTTGTATTTGTGGAGTTTTTTTTTATTTGTTGTTTTGGGAAGGAGTCTTGCTTTGTTGCCCAGGCTGGAGTGCAGTAGCACCATCTCGGCTCACAGCAACTTCCACCTCTCGGGTTTAAGTGATTCTCCTGTGTCAGCCTCCTGAGTAGCTGGGATTACAGGCGTGTGCCACCATGCCCAGTTAATTTTTGTATTTTTAGTAGAGATGGGGTTTCACCATGATGGTCAGGCTGGTCTCAAACTCCTGACCTCATGATCCACCCACCTCAGCCTCCCAAAGTGCTGGGATTACAGGTGTGAGCTACTGTGCCTGGCCTATTTTTGTTGAGTTTTAAGAGTTCTTTGTATATTCTGGATGATAGGTGATCTGTAAATATTTTCTCCCGTTCCGTATTCCTCTGGCTCCTTTTAAGATTTTTCCTGCCGGGCGCGGTGGCTCAAGCCTGTAATCCCAGCACTTTGGGAGGCTGAGGTGGGTGGATCACGAGGTCAAGAGATCGAGACCATCCCGGTCAACATAGTGAAACCCCGTCTCTACTAAAAATACAAAAAATTAGCTGGACATGGTGGTGTGTGCCTGTAATCCCAGCTACTCAGGAGGCTGAGGCAGGAGAATTGCCTGAACCCAGGAGGCGGAGGTTGCGGTGAGCCGAGATCGCGCCATTGTGCTCCAGCCTGGGTAACAAGAGTGAAACTCCATCTCAAAAAAAAAAAAAAAAGGTTTTTTCTTATGTCTGGTTTCAAGGAATTTGATTTTGTTGTGCCTTGGTGGAGTTTTATCTTTCTTTGAGTTTTTTGCTCTTTTTGTTAAGCTCTTTGACTTTTTGAGTTTATACTTTTCATCAGATTTGGAACATTTTTTGGTTATTATTTGTCCAGATATTCACACATCCCTCCTTGGATTCCAATTACATACGTATTATTAGGTTCCTTGAGGTTGCCCCATACCTTACTGATGCTCTGCTTTTTTCCCCTTGGTCTTATATTTTGTGTTTCATTTTGGATAGTGTTTTTTTTTTTTTTTTTTGAGTTTTGCTCTTGTTGCCCAGGCTGGAGTTCAGTGGCCCAATATTGGCTCACTGCAACCTTCGCCTCCCAGGTTCAAGCAATTCTCCTGCCTCAGCCTCCTGAGTAGCTAGGATTACAGGCATGCGCCACCATGACTGGCTAATTTTGTATTTTTAGTAGAGATGGGGTTTTTCCATGTTGGTCAGGCTGATCTGGAACTCCCGACTTCAGGTGATCTGCCCACGTTGGCCTCCCAAAGTGATGGGTAGATAGTTTTTATTGCTGTGTCTTTACATTCACTCATCTTTCCTTCTGCTGTGTCTTGCCTGCTGCTAGTTCCATCCAATGTATTTCATTCCAACCTGTTATATATATTCTGTAATCTGTGGTTTGATACAAATGCAGTGATGTAGCAGGTATCAATAAATACTGTCTTAATTTGTTGCCATAATAGATTTCTTGTTCTGTATATTAGCTAAAAAGGATATGGAAACCACTCTGTATGTCGTATTAACTTTGATATCCCTTTGTTTTCACGTTAACTTTTAGTTTCTCTGCCAGCACCTACATATGTATTTTTTTGTATGATTATTCTCCATTTTCTGCTGAGAGTGGACATCTGCATTAATAGTTCCACAGTATTTGTTAAGTAAGTTGCCAGAATAATTGGTCTGTTTGGCAGACTGCAGACAAATATTTATCTGTGATTGGTTGTATGATATGACCATTATTTTGCTATAAGAAACTTGAAATAGATTTTAATGTTTTCTTTACTATTATCAGAGAGCGAGCTGGATTACCTGCTGAAGTATACTTTTGGTTATTGCTGTCATTAATTCAGTGCCAGCTAGATGTGGTCACTGGTATTACCTCCATGTGATCATTTTTTGTTCATTAATGTTAATTTAAAAAGTTTTGCAGCCTGAGAACTGATATACGTCAGAAATATTTCAGATTTTTTAGATTTTGGAATATTTGTATTATACATGTCAGTTAAGCATCCCTAATTGGAAAGTCTAAACTCTGAAATGCTCCAGTGAGTGTTTCCTTTGAGCATCATGTTGGGACTCAGAAAGTTTTCAGATTTTGGAGCATTTTGGGTTTTGGCCTTTCAGACTTGGGATGATCAGCCTGTCATTGTGTGTTAAACAGTCATTTACATTCAGTAGTTCTTTCTTTTCTTGCTTCTCTGTCCCAGCAGGTATTAATCTCTGGAGAAGACAAATCCACAGTTAGCACTTTCTTCAGATGCTGACACTCAGTGAACAGTTGCTCTTGGTGACAAGATTTAGAAGACACAGTGTCCATCCTACCAGATTGGATCTCTTTTTCATATGGATCTTCTGTTTCTATGTCTTTTTTAAAAAGAACTTTTTGGGAAACCTTTTGGATTACAACTGTTCATCCTCATCTATGCAAAGAAAGGAAAGCTATTGCTGGGATTTTGAGGAGGTATGTCTTTTTTTCTTCTGCAAAATCACATCACATAGGCACTCAGAACAGTGTAAAATAATTACATTTTCCTCTCTAGAACTCAATTCTCATTCATTTACTTGTTTCATCTTCCTTTCTCTCATTTTCTCTTTTTTTATAGCAACTGTGGCTCAACAAGAACTTTCTTAATGTATGTAATGAAACAGCTTATTTCCTACATTCTTTGTGCATGTTATTAGATATGGGATTACATTTATAAGTAAGAGGGAGCAGCTCGAATTCTGTCTTTAAAAACTAAAATTTTTTTATTTTATTTTTTATAATAGAGACAGAGTCTTGCTGTATTGCCCAGGCTGGTCTCAAACTCCTGGGCTCAAGTGATCCTTCAGCCTCCCAAAGTGCTGAGATTGCAGGTGTGAGTCACCATCCCCAGCTGTAGCTTGCATTTTTATTTCTCAAATTGAAATTGTGGCTTCGGTGAACTGCGTTTGTTCTCATTCTGCATAGACACTGGATGGATTAGGAAAGTTTAGTACCCTTAGCATAATATTATGGCTATATGATTTCATAGTCTGGTTCACTTTCATTGGCAAGAGGAGGTGTGATATTGTAGAGTTTTGAACTAAAAATTGAGACTTCAGTCCCAGGTTTGACTTTATTCCATACTTTGAGAGTTAAAGTATGTTTGCTTTCTCACCTTTAAAATGGTCTTACTGTTACTTGCTTTACACAGCTCATGGGGTTATTGAGAATCAGATGAGAAAATCTATGCGAAAGATTTTTATCAATGTAAAGGATTGTTATTGCATTATAGACAGTTAGGTATATCTGTTCTTTTCACTCAGAATACTCAGTTTTTCTCTCTGAAAACTTTTTGGTTTTTTTTTTGAGACAATGTCTTGCTCTGTAGCCCAGGCTGGAGTGCAAGGGTGTAGTCATAGCTCACAGCAATCTCACACTCCTGGGTACAAAGAGTCCCCCTATGCCAGTGTCCCAAGTAGGTGGGACTGCAGGTGTATGCCACTGTGACCAGCTAATATTTTTATATTTTATACAGATGGGGGTTTCACTATGTTGCCCATGCTGGTCTTGAACTCTTAAGTGCAGTGATCCTTTTACCTTGGCCTCCCAAAATGCAGGGATTACAGGCATGAGGCACCATGCCTGGCCTGAAATAAATAAATAATGCATAAATGCAGTTTTTAAATTTATGATGACAAATTCTAATGAGAAAAGTAAAAGGAAAGGAGTAATAGAATGTATTGAGGGGAAGGGGTTGAGTGTTCACAGATGGATTCACACAGAAGGTGACATTTGAGTAAGGACTTGAAAGAGGTAAAGGAGTGAGCCACACACATACATGAGAAGAGCATTCTAGGCATAGTGAATCATAGTGTACAGGTCCTGAGACAGAAGCTTGCCTGAGGAATGGTGAGGGTGAGTCCTTACTTGGTGGTGCTTTATGGAAGTGCTTTTCAAACTTTAATGCACACATGAATTATCATGGTTCTTATTAAAATTCAGATTCTAGTCTCATAGGTCTGGGATAGGGCCTATTACTAATAAGCCCCCAGGTGCTGCTGCTGTTGGTGGTCTTTGTAGGACTTTAGCTTTTACACTGAGCAAAATAGGAAGTTTTTAGAGCATTTGAGCAGTGGGGGTGACATGATCAGATTTATATTTTGACATTTTCATTTCTCTGGCTGCTGAGTAGATAGTGGTGGATTGGGTAAGGACAAAGCCGAAATACTAGTTTGGAGACTATTATTGTTATCAAGGTGAGAGAAAATGTGGTTTGTGCTAGAGAGTAGCAATGACTGTAGGAACACATGGTCTGATTCTGGATATATTTTTCAAGTAGAGTCAGCAAGTTTTGCCGATTGGATATGTGCTGTGGAAGAAAGGAAAGAGTTAAGGTTTTTGTACTGAGTTTCTGGAAGGTTGCTGTTGTCATTTATTGAGATGGAGGACTGAAAGAGGAACAGGTTTCCAGGAGAAGTAACAGAAGCTCCGTTTTAGATGTAAATTAAAGATGCCTATTAAGTCTTAGAGTTGTTGGGTAGACAGTTGGGTTTATGAATCTGGAATTCAGGAGAGAAGGATCTGCTGGACATACACCTCTGGGTATTGTTAAAACATTATATTTAAGTCCCGAAAGCTGGATGAGATCTCTGAGTAGAGATGGAAGTAAGAAACAGTTGAAGAACTTAATTAACTCCAGAGTTTAGAGTAGGCGTCCCCAAACTTTTTACACAGGGGGCCAGTTCACTGTCCCTCAGACCATTGGAGGGCTGCCACATACTGTGCTCCTCTCACTGACCACCAATGAAAGAGGTACCCCTTCCTGAAGTACGGCGGGGGGCCGGACAAATGGCCTCAGAGGGCCGCATGCAGCCCGTGGGCTGTAGTTTGGGGATGCCTGGTTTAGAGGTTCGGGAGATGAGAAGGAAACATCAAAGATGACTTAATAGCAGTAGTCAGAGAGGTAAGATGAAAACTAGGTTAGAGAGTATCTTGGAATCTAATGAGGAAAGCATTTCAAGGAATAGAGAGTGATCAGCTGTGTCAAATACTATATTTGAGATGAGGGCTGAGAATTAACTATTTGATTTAACAATGTGGCAATTATTGGTAACCTTGATAAAGAGTAGTTTTAGTGTTGAAGTTGGGGGTTAAAGTCTGATTGGAGATGTTGTCTTTACAAATGCAAAACATTTCCTAAATGCTGATGAGACTGGGTACGCAGATTAAAATCTGTAATTCTAGGTAGATGTTTTTGGCAGGAGAAGATTTATGATATTTAAGTAATATTATTAACAACTGGCTTGATTATTCATTTAAAGTAATATTGGGAAATTTACTTTGAGGGAATCTTCAGAGTTTATTTTTTAAATTTTTATTTATTTTCTTTTCTGTAGGGATGAATGTCTCTGTATGTTGCCTAGGCTGGTCTCAAACTCTTGGCTTCAAGCAATCCCCCTGCCTCAGCCTTCGAAAATGCTGAGATTATAGGCATGAGCCACCAAACCTGGCCCCTAAATTTTTGATTCATGCCTTCAGGATTTTAAAAATTGTCCTTAGCAATTTTTATGAAAAAGAAAAAATGTAAGGATTGGCTAGGAGCTAATTAGCATTAGTCACTCTTCTTTCTTAGGTTATAGGGCTGAAAAACACTTTAAATATAGTCTTTGTTCTGTCAGTGGGGCTTATGAAAAGAACCTCTTCATGCTCCTATTTATTCTTCTTTTTTTTGAGATGGAATTTGCCCTTGTTGCCTAGGCTGGAGTGTAGTCGTGCAATCTCGGCCCACCACAACCTCTGCCTTCCGGATTCAAGTGATTTTCCTGCCTCAGCCTCCTGAGTAGCTGGGATTACAGGCATGTGCTACCATGCCCGGCTAATCTCCATGTTGGTCAGGCTGGTCTTGCACTCCTGACCTCAGGTGATCCACCCGCCTTGGCCTCCCAAAGTGCTGGGGTTACAGGCGTGAGCCACCTTACCCAGCCTTGTTTGTTCTTCTTGAGTAAATGTATCTAGTTTGTGTAGCATCCTCAGCCAGATGAGCATATAAAGAACCAAAGTGTATGGGTGTGGTTAGATGTAACTTAGTCTTGGCTTTTATGGAAGACTTCTTTTTCTTCATTTATTTTAAAAAAATTTATTGAATACTTTCATATTTGTTGGCTCTGTTGTAGGTGTTTAAGATACAGTGGATAAAAGCTTCTACCCTAATGGAGTTGATGTTTTAGTTGAAATGAAGTAGCAGATTGGGGCCAAGACTTGTTCGTGGTCTCACATTGGTGTAGGTAATCTTTTTTTTTGTTTGTTGGTGTTTTTTTTTTGTTTTGCTTTGAGACGGAGCTTGCTCTGCTGCCCATGCTGGAGTGCAGTGGTATGATCTTGGCTGACTGCAACCTCTGCTTCCGGGGTTCAAGCAATTCTCCTGCCTCAGCCTCCCCAGTAGCTGGGATTACAGGCGCCTGCTACCACAGCTGGCTCATTTTTTTATTTTTTATTTTTAGTAGAGGCAGTGTTTCTCCATATTGGCTTGGCTGGTCTCAAACTCCTGACCTCAGGTGATCCACCCACTTCAGCCTCCCACAGTGCTGGGATTACAGGAGTGAGTGACAGAGCCTGGCGGCGGCGGCGGCGGCGGCGGCGGCGGCGGCGGCGGCGGCGGCGGCGGCTGCTGCTGCTGCTGCTGCTGCTGCTGCTCCTGCTGCTGCTCCTGCTGCTGCTCCTGCTGCTCCTGCTGCTGCTGCTGCTCCTCCTCCTCCTCCTCCTCCTCCTCCTCCTCCTCTCCTCTTCTCCTCCTCCCCCTCCTCCTCCCCCTCCTCCCCCTCCTCCTCCCCCGCCTCCTCCCCCGCCTCCTCCCCACCTCCTCCCCCCTCCTCCCTCCTCCTCCCCCTCCTCCTCCCCCTCCTCCTCCCCCTCCTCCTCCCCCTCCTCCTCCGCCTCCCTCTCCCTCCTCCCCCCTCCCCCCCTTCTTCTTGCTGTATTACTCAGGCTGTATGAACTACTGGGCTCAGGTGATCCTCCTAGGACCTAAGATCCTGAGTAGCTGTGACTACAGATGGACCACCATGCCTGCGTCTAGTGTTGGTCATCTTATGCAGTGTGGGCCTATGGAAAACCTGAAGAAGGTTGTTGTGAGCTGTTTTCCTTTCTGACAACTTAAGGCAGCACTCAAATACTGTGGAGAATAAGGAAAACAGAGGTCAGCAATTATCTGACAGACTTTGATTATTAAGAGAAGTAACATAACACTCAAAGGAAACTTCATATATATGAAGTTTATTTTCTACTTTTTATTTGTTTTACTTGTTTTTCTTTTTTTAAAAAGAGATAGAGCCTTACTCTGTTGCTCAGCTGGAACACAGTTGTGCAATCATAGCTCACTGCAGCTTCAAACTTCTGGGCTCAAGCGATTGTCCCACCTCACCCTCCCAAGTACCTAGGACTACAGGTGTGCACCACCATACCCAGCTAATTTTTGTATTTTTTGTAGAGATGGGGTC